ATCAATATCAGTCAAAATAGAAAAATGGGTTCCCATGATGAACGTTTACGGAACCCAACATTAGTTATCGTGGTTTCCCATTGGGTAATCCGACGGAACCGAAAAACGGTTACCATGAATTTCTGAAATCCTCAGGCCTGGTCCTGAATTATTTAAATTTTTGCAGCATTTGTTTATAATTGTATGTATATGTTGTTTGTGTTATTATCATATGCAATTGAATAAGTAGACCATTTCGGAATTTGAAATTTGGGACTCTCTCAATGCATAATGGGACTCATACTTTTCTGATCAGTGAGTCCCTGGGACTCGCTGCAGGTAAACTGTAAAATGATCACTGAGAGATTACCGCTTTTTCTGCAGTCAGTGATTGACTTCTATGCAAAGTCATTTCTCAACTTGTGTTCCGTGCCGTGTCATGCCTGTTGAGTGTTGATTTATTCATAATATTTATTTATATTCACATTAAGAAACTACTGCACTAAAACATTAATTCATAAATGTATGTCATATGATTTTATTTCTTTTTCCCAGTATAAATAACACGTACCCTGACTGTTCTACTCTTTGAATAAAATCACTTCATTCAAGCGTTAGGGAGTGCAAAGGGTTCTGATGGAGGGGTGTTGCAAATCATGAGGACAGTCCTTGGTCCTTGGCCTTGGCCTCGGAAGCAAGTCCTTGGTCCTTGGCCTTGGCCTCGGAAAATTTTTCAAGTCCTTGGCCTTGGCCTTGCCTCGGAAAATTTTCCAAGTCCTTGGCCTTGGCCTTGGCCTCGGAGGCAAGTCCTTGGCCTTGGCCTTGGCCTCGGGTTGCCGGTCCTTGGACACATCCCTGGTAATCTCACATCTTGATCGGATATCGGGCGAACATCCTGTGGTTACACAAACACATAATGTAAAATAAATAGGCGCACGCTCTACATGGCTGGTGTCCACACTGGAGATTGACATACGCAAAGCACGTTCATGAGGAACTGCAAGATCTCCACTTGCGGATGATATAAAATTGGCCAGGGCGATCACAGTTTGTCTCAGTGAAACGGGCAGCTGGAGACAGCCAGTGTTTCGTGTCTGTGTGTGAAAACAACTACTTCCTATCCCCCAACAACTGTGCCACGACCAGCAGGGTGAAGCGAAAAATTAATTAAAGATGATGATGATAATAATGATTTCAATGGACCAGTTTCATCAATGTTTCAGAGGGTTCGATGCAGCCTGTTATTATGTTTACAGTCTGAATGCAATGCAATGACATCCACTACCCTTGCACAATCTGTGCAGAATCTTTCTGCCTGTGTCTCGATCAAATTGACCAACATCGCATTCCACCGCCTACGCCACAATTTAGACCTGCTCTCACGCAGGCATCAAATGTCGTCATCTTTCAGCCATCAAATTGTCAGGTCTGCCAGAGGCGTGGAAAAGAAAACACCCTCGATGATGCATCAGCAATGCAACACCACGGATCACCGGCAACACAAACAAGTCAGTTATACAAAACTGTCACCACAAACACCTGCACGCACAATTAGATGTCAATCCATATTTTGTGTTGCGCTATTACAAAGACTTCTTTGTCTCGTGCAGTCTCGAAAACTGCTTGTACGCATGCAAAAATAACACATTATATTCCCTGGAAGCTAGAGATAGGACAAGTTCCGTATATGAGAAAAATGTGCAAGTGATGATTCACAAGCAAGCAAGTCAGCCGCCAAAGAGCTTCTTGTTTTGGGTTCTCTTCCACTTTCCGTGAATACGTCTTGCCGTCTACCCTCTAATTGGGAGCACGTGTGCGATAATAATGTCTTTTTAAATACATACGCACGCTTCACTCTTGAACGACTCGTATATCTTAAGGTGAACTGAAAAAGCCTCGAGGAGAGAGTCTAAATATAGACGTGTGTGTTGAATTGTGAAGGTGCTCTCGCTGGAATGCTCTTATCGGGGTTAAATGTTGACTTGACATTTTCTCAGGATGCTTGGCTTGTGTGTGAGCGTGTGTGTGTGTGTGTGTGTGTGTGTGTGTGTGTGTGTGTGTGTGTGTGTGTGTGTGTGTGTGAGGGTTCGATGCAGCCTGTTATTATGTTTACAGTCTGAATGCAATGCAATGACATCCACTACCCTTGCACAATCTGTGCAGAATCTTTCTGCCTGTGTCTCGATCAAATTGACCAACATCGCATTCCACCGCCTACGCCACAATTTAGACCTGCTCTCACGCAGGCATCAAATGTCGTCATCTTTCAGCCATCAAATTGTCAGGTCTGCCAGAGGCGTGGAAAAGAAAACACCCTCGATGATGCATCAGCAATGCAACACCACGGATCACCGGCAACACAAACAAGTCAGTTATACAAAACTGTCACCACAAACACCTGCACGCACAATTAGATGTCAATCCATATTTTGTGTTGCGCTATTACAAAGACTTCTTTGTCTCGTGCAGTCTCGAAAACTGCTTGTACGCATGCAAAAATAACACATTATATTCCCTGGAAGCTAGAGATAGGACAAGTTCCGTATATGAGAAAAATGTGCAAGTGATGATTCACAAGCAAGCAAGTCAGCCGCCAAAGAGCTTCTTGTTTTGGGTTCTCTTCCACTTTCCGTGAATACGTCTTGCCGTCTACCCTCTAATTGGGAGCACGTGTGCGATAATAATGTCTTTTTAAATACATACGCACGCTTCACTCTTGAACGACTCGTATATCTTAAGGTGAACTGAAAAAGCCTCGAGGAGAGAGTCTAAATATAGACGTGTGTGTTGAATTGTGAAGGTGCTCTCGCTGGAATGCTCTTATCGGGGTTAAATGTTGACTTGACATTTTCTCAGGATGCTTGGCTTGTGTGTGAGCGTGTGTGTGTGTGTGTGTGTGTGTGTGTGTGTGTGTGTGTGTGTGTGTGTGTGTGTGTGTGTGTGTGTACTTCTTAGGGAACATAAATCTGTTCACATTGTGGGGACGGGCATCCCTAAAGCAAGCGTCTGAAATGTATATCATCAGGCCTTTGAGAAAAGAGTTGTTGAGATGCGAGTGTGTGTGTGTGTGTGTGTGTGTGTGTGTGTGTGTGTGTGTGTGTGTGTGTGTGTGTGTGTGTGTGTGTGTGTGTGTGTTGCTGCTGCATAAATCTGGCCTCTGTGTTTAATGACAGGGATGGCAGGCTGATAATGCCATGGTAGTTGGCGACTGAGCAACTTGAAGCAGAGGCTGTTTCACCTCAGCAACGGCCCTTAAAGTGTCCGGCGTGCCACCGGCCAGGAATTTGAAAGGGGGTGGAGGAGGAGAGAAAGGCTTTTTGCCAGGCAAGCAGTGAAAACCTCATGGGAGAAGTCATCATCGCCCGAAAGAGACTAACATTCAAAAGAAAAATCAGAATCTTACATGTTCTGACCTATTTGTTTTGTTTTGTTTAAATGGCCGCCACAGGAAAGTCCCGTTCCATTGAAATGTAGGCTGGAGAGAAGGTGTTGTCATTTTAACCTGCACGATATCATGTCTTTTATTTGAAAGCAAAATGTTTGATGCACGATTGGAGGAAGCCAGACAACGGTTTGAAGTCACAGCCTAATGCATGCGCTGGGAAAAAAAAAGTCTTTGATATTCGGTTGCGCATAAGGAACACGTGTTTAACAAATTCGTCTCATCTATTTATTTTTGAGGAAGTCACGGGCAAAATGACATCGGTTTACCACATTTTTAATCAGGGGTCACCGATGTACATATCCAAAGGATTTTTCAGTGGTTACACAAGCCGTTGGTGAAGCCGAGCAGGACAGCGGGCCTCTTGAGTTCTACAGCCAGTGAGTGTGCGTGCGTGCGTGCGTGTGTGAGTACGCCGTATTGTCCTTTGACGGGAGAAGCACCCTCACGATCCCCCAGGCATATGCGTGTCTTTACATGACTATCATGCTATACGTCTCGAGCTCGCTGCATTTTCTGTGCACGTGAGAAGAAAGCCAGAGATGGATGCTAGGGGGACTTTTGGAGACAGATAAGAGAAGATAATGTTTGGTGTGTGTGTGTGTGTGTGTGTGTGTGTGTGTGTGTGTGTGTGTGTGTGTGTGTGTGTGTGTGTGTGTGTGTGTTTGTGGAGTACCTTTCCGCCTCTCTCCCTCCTGGAGGAGGCGTAAGGAGGTGAGGAGGTGCAAACGATGGAGGTGATTGTAAACACCAATGTCCAGGAGGTCGCATTCTGTGAGGTACAGCAGGTCCTGGAAGAGACAAACAGAAGCAGAAAGCGTATGTGAGTCCTTCAAAAAAATTTTGCATTGCCATCTTGAGTCGGTATCACGGCGGTGGAAGGTCTTGAATTAATCTAGCATGGATGTTTTTTTTTTGGAATATAAGAGGAAAGCGGTGTGTCTCACACCTGCTAGCATGGGGAAAACAAGCGAACTCCACAAAGAACAGTCAGATTGGAGATTTGAACCCAGAACTCTTGCATGCTAAGCTCACGCTACGCCATGCCGCCGCAATTTGCAACTTTCGAAACCTCACGTTCCCTTTGTATCATCTTTTCAGCTATGAAAGGATTCGCTTCCTTCAATGTTTTAATTGAAAACATATAAAAAGACGAAACCAAAAATTGGCGCGATTGACCTTGGGCACAAGGAAGACTGGCTTGTTTTTTTGGTTTATTTATTGAAAGCTACGTTCTCCAGAACGAGACATGACACTCCATCTCGGAACAATCAAATGCGTTTTTGAAGCTTGCGTCGCACAAAATGTTTGGTGGAAGATAAGAAACTTCCAAGTCTGTCTAGACAGGTTGTTGGCTCCAGCCGAGAATGTAAAGCGCCGAGACCACCGGTGACCGCCTGTCTCCCCAAAGTGTGCCATCTCCTCCCCTCGCCCTGATCTTGTCATTAACCGCATTGTTTAGCGCACCCCGCCACACTTCAACCTGCACTAGGTTGTTAACAAAAACCCACCCCTTGAAGTAGATGAATTGACAACACGGCGTCATCACGGACGGGACCTTCACAACTCAAACCGGCACAGCTGAAGGACTCGTTGTTTTGTTACGTTACTTAACGACAAGCACATCTCTCTGTAAACTACGCATGCGCGTCGCGTCGCTTGGTGTTTTTGGATCCGCCTCTCTCTCGTCTCGTCTCCATTTGTGTCGAAATCCAAAGTGACGTGTTTTCTTTATCTGGTCGTCCAGAGCTCAACCATCGTGTGAACTTTCAATCCTGCCCACCACGGTCGATTTAACAGCTGTGGATGATTAATTCTTCATTTTTTTTTTTGTTTGTTTTCCATGTGAATGCATGACTTGTGTCTGGCCGACACAAGCCATCACGCGCCTCAATTGTGACAACAATCTTCGTGTGTTCACTTCACTCGTTGGAACGTTTGCTTTTTACGACCGAAACGTTTCCGAGGTTTCCCACTTTTTTTCGGTTTAATTGCCACACGAAGCTCGAGTTGTAAATTAGGACTCCGAAAGCGTCTGCCATCGAAAATGGAAGAGCTTTGACGATCCTTGTCCTAATGTTGACTTAAATGTCTGGCCAGTGTTGGTGGTGCCTACAAGCTCAGTCATGCGGGACTAATCCTGGACGGTTTGAGAAGCAATGAGCTGGACACTGTTGATATAATAGCCCGAAAGGGCTCAGTGGTGCTTTATGATTCCACGATGGCTGAAGGACGAGGTTGTAAATTCCTCCATTGACAACTCCTGAAAATGGCCGCACAGTGGCAGGTGTTTTGTCACATCATCGGACGACACAAATGAATGTCGTCTAATGGACGCCGTAAAATATGTTGTCGCCGACCACCCAAAGCTCCCGGTCACTACAAATGTACTTCACCTTAAAATTCAATCGGCATTATATGTAATAAAGCCACGGGAGAAAACATCAAGCCGAGTCACTGCTGGTATTTTCCTTCATCTTAATTAAGAGTAGAAACTCGTCACGTCTTTCTCCTCCTAATCCGCGCGACAAGAAATTCCTTTCACGGTCATCTTGGAGTACTGTCATTTTTTTTTTTGTTTTCCAACAATCCAAATTAGCTGTCACGAAATAAGCTGAAGTGAAATCACGTGATTTATTTTCACAGGCTGAGCCTAAAGCCAAAGTGGATCGCTGCCCAAGAATGAGCAGCAACATGTCTCCCCACTTCTACTTGTGAAGTTGATTGCCACGATGACGTTTGAAAGAGGCGCATCGCTGCATCGAGAGTTTTTCCCAATAATATGTGGACACGCATCGGAAGATGTTGTAAGTATGCCCTGACGCACAAAAGTCTTGTGGAGTCTTTTCCTGAGGTGAGCAACATAACAGACCGCAGATGGAATAATCCGTCCCAACGAATGACTCTTGCAGGATGAAACATGACCTGACATTCAAACTAATTCCAAGTATTTTATTTGGGCAACCCTGTGTTACAACGTTACATCAACTCTCCCCATGTCAGAACAGAAACGGAATCAGGCAGCAGCCACATTGTGATTCCTTTTTGGATGCTTGCGCGTCCCCGCCATGTTGTCGTGAAACGCAGGTTTGCATCACCCCACTTGAGTTTGGGGTGAAACGCGCCCTAACTTTTGGACAATGTCTAGCCATGACATCATGCTTGTTTCTGACGTCACGGATGATGCGGATTAGCACCACTGTGCATACGCGCCTCAGGCAAGTCGACGGTAAAAAGGTGCGACGGGAAACGAGGCAGTTTCCAGAGAAAAAAAACAAAGCGTCAAAAATAAACCATGAGACTCATTGTCGATGATTTTCATGGTCGACCATGAATTTGGACGGTTGATCGTTTATGGGTGTAGTACCTCAACGCCATCATATTCTCGTTCCAGCGCAGTGCAGTATTGCGGCAGTCCCAGCTGACTCAGCCATCGGGAGATGGACTGGTGCTTCATGGTCCACAAACGTGTGCACACGCACACGCTAGATGGAACCTGAAGGAATAGAAGATCACCCATAAGATCAGTCTTTAAATAAAATCAACCCTGAGAAACGGGAAAAATATAATCGTGACCACATTGATGGCTTTACAAAGAAGCCCAAACAAAATTGCGAACCACCGAATGACTTGTTCAGTTAACGCTTGGAAGTTTTGATTGATGATCAAAAAATGGCACCGGAAAGACTGGTGGCCAGTCCGTACTTTCAAGGGCTATTCGGCGTGTGGCGACACATCCTTGCTAAGGACAGGACACGGAGCACATTATCTGGAAGAGCGGCAATGACTGAGTATGTGCAGTGGCCCCACACTCACGCAATTATATGAAGTGCTATTACAGGGAAGTCAATGACAGTTAGCAAAGTGTGTGCCACCACTCTGCAGGGACTCCTCGCTCAATCACATCAAGCCAATCTGTGAGGGTGTCATTGCGGAGGCCAGAGGAGTCCTTTATGCGCTTTCGGCACTCCTGTCAGTGTCCGACCCCGTTCCCAGTTCAACCTCCAGGCGGGCTGGCGTTTATCCAGGGATATGCATTACCTGATTCTCTCCGCTGGCAGAACCGTGGGGAGAGACTGCGGCACAAGGAATCTGAAGGAGGAGATTCTGACAGGTGTGTTGGACAACTCAACTGTATTTCTCGAGCACTTGAAAAGAACTCTTAAGATGGACAGGGAGCCGGTCAGGTACCAGTCAAGAGGTGAGCAGCAGTATTGTGGACCAACTGGAGACTCATAATGGAGGATTGCTGACTCCAAAGTCAAGTGCATGACAGTCATCCAGCCGGTAGGTGACGACGGCATGCGGCACTCAGAGGGGTTTACTTGCCATCTTTCAGCCAGATGATACTTTTCACATCCGAGCTGCCAGGACTGTCTGCCGCGCAGATGTATTTTATTGCATTGTGTTGAGGTTTTGCCCAAATAATGTGAGCAGTTTAGCTGGCTACGATTCCAAAGGGGACAAAATTATGACTAGGGGGACAACTTCCAACATAAGGGAAATGAAACTGGGGGCAAAAATGAAGCAGCTGCGTTTGCGTGGCTTCCGGATTCACAAAGTTCAACTGCTTTCTCCCCAGGTTTGACTTCCCTTCACCACGATAGAGAGGCCGCATGCATGGGATGAGGGACACCGATTCCCTGCCAGCCCTTGAGCAAGGCACCCGGCAATCCCGTAACTGGCCACTTGAAATGTGGCAAGTGCTCTTTTCAGGATGAGCGCAGAAGGCAATTACATGACATGACCAAATAACCTGCGGGACTTCTTTCTTCTTGGTTGCACGCAAATCGCGGTCGTTGGCACGGGGAGGGATGCCACCAACCGGTCAAACAATTTGACCTCAGGCAAGAGGCTTTTACACCGAATGTTCACGAGTGGAAGCGCATGACCCAACATACCCCGAACGCTGCTCGTAGGAACCGAGAGCGCAAAGTGCTCTCCCAAGAGGCTGCTTCTTCTTTCTGTGGAGTCCACTTCAACTTTTCTCCGCGGCTCCGACCTCGGCTGTTTTCCCATGACCACATCTCTCTCGGGTGCTGTGGCAATATCCAATTTCTCATTGAAGAGCAACGCTATAAATAGACGCATGCAGATCCTGCCTGCTGAGTGAGCCAAACAAGCTGGGCTATTTAACAACATCCCATAATGGATTGGACTTTTGAGGGCAAAACAAACTTCAGCACAGCCAAGACTGCCATAGAGGGCAAACTGCTTCACTCACTCACTCACTCTAATGCCTTTATTGGCTGCTGTCTATCGAGCAAGGGCGTCTGTTTCACCAATCACATTAGACTGAAACAATCCGACCAAGTGAACGAAGCCGCAAAATAAAATCGGCGCTAAGGATATGGAAATACAGATATGTATTGTTGGTTACTAAGGCTGCAAAAAATAATGTCAACATAAATGGATGGATGGCTACAGTTGAATATCCATGCAGAACAAAGTACTGATAAATATACTGGTGAAGGGTTTCACGACACACGGTGCAGTAGTTGCATGTTTTTCTTGTCTTTCTTGAGCATCGTTTCCCTTCTCTGACGCCTGTCAAACGCCCGAAGCGCCAGAAGAATGTGATGCTGCCTGAGGGTAAACCTCATGGATACTTTCGAAGAAGGAAAAAGTTTGCGCCATTGCGGCCCAAATGGCAGTACGCCGATGCTTAAACCGCAGTCTCTTTTTGGACGGTTTACTTTCCGTATTGCAATCTCGTCAGTGTCTCATCCGTCACTCCATTGTCTTCTCAATTAAATGCACAACTGACATGAAGTTGAAATAATACCCCCCCACCCCCCCAAAAAATATAAAGATAAAGAAAAAAAATGACACCTACCTTGCGAATGGCTGAGCTACAGTCAGTGAAGAATGCAGTGGAGTGCCGCATGCATGCAGCCTGCAAGTGCACTTGCTGCTCGCAGCGCTCACAATGGTGAGCCTGCACGAGTTGCTGCCATGTCATCCACTTTAACTGTCTACAAAGCCATCAAACACACACACAGAGGGTGGGGGAGGGAGAGAGAGAGAGAGAGAGAGAGAGATTGTATAATTGATGTGTCTATGGCGATATGACTCAAAGTGATTAGTTATTACGGGAGTAACAAAGTAATATTAATTTGTGTCATATAATGGATGTACCTGGCATTGCTGACTTGTGAATGCCATTGTGGACTGTTTAAACACATTTGATAAACAATTTCTGTTTTCCCCCTTCCTGGGCCATCACCGAATTGTTGTGGAGGGGGTTGTCTGTCTCACTGATCCGAGGAGCAACATTTTCCGGAGTTTTACGCTCATGTCAGGGTCACTCGTGGCAAACAGGTCCTCAGTGAGGGAGCAGACAGCCCACTGCTCAAAGCAGGCTCCCTGTGACGATGCCTCTCACATTCGCATCCTATGGGAGGCGGGTGACATTGAGTCCAAGTGGGCTATGTTCCACGCCTCCATTGTTGATGTGGCCGATCAAACCTGTAGCTGTAAGGTGGTCGGTGCCTGTGGGGTTTCAGAGGCATTCGATGGGTACCGGCAGGAAGATTTGCTGGCGGCTGAGTCAAAAACTCCGGCATGGAAGGGGTTTGGTGAAGCCATGGGAAACGACTTCCAAACAGCTTTGAGGAAACACCATGCAGCATCTCAGCAGAGGCAAGCAATGCAACATCAACAGTGTTTATAGTGGGAGTGGAGTGCAGCTGACCTTGACTCAAGTAGAAGGTGCGAGTCGATACCAGGATGTGTTTTGTTAACACTCTCAAATTAGGGATATGAATAATTTAAAAAATGTAAAGACATCATCACTTCCTTGCTTCATTTCCTGAAAGAAAGGAAAAAAAAACCCGAGCTATTCAGCGATAGTCTCACGCATCTGGCCAGAGGACCTCAACTTTCGCTTCAGGCTGTCCACCGATACTTGTCCATGGCCAAAGCTCCCCCTGGCGTGACGTACGGTGCAACAGCGCAGTCCTGCAGACTGAGATGCACGGAAAGGGAATCCTAAACACAATTAATGTGCTCAGTAGCGCATAGAACAATTACAGCTCTTTTTAAAGTGATATCATCATGAGTTCAACGAAGAGCGCCAAGCTTGATATGCGCATAATTTGGACACAAATCATGGGATTCAAAGGCTCTTGCTTTAAACTGACTGCCTCTATGGATTTAGAAGGATAAATTAAATCACGGAGGGGAGAAAGCGAGCGAGGCAGATTGAGATTTTTTTTTTCCGAGGTAAAAACCCAGCGAGTGAAATTAACCAATGAAAGCAAGGAGGCGTGTCCACTGTTGTTGTGGTTGACATCAACTTCCTGCTTTGCGGCATGAAAGCTTTCAACTGCAGTTTTCGACCATGAAGAGGAGAAACATCCCATTACACAACTGAACAGGATCGTAAGTATATTAAATCACGGAGGGGAGAAAGCGAGCGAGGGAGATTGAGATTTTTTTTTTTTTATCCGAGGTAAAAACCCAGCGAGTGAAATTAACCAATGAAAGCAAGGGGGCGTGTCCACCGTTGTTGTAGTTGACATCAATTTCCTGCTTTGCGGCGTGAAAGGTTTCAACTGCAGTTTTCGACCATGAAGAGGAGAAACATCCCATTACACAACTGAACAGGAGCGTAAGTACGCCCTCGGGTTTATTTGGTTGTCAACTCGCTACCGAGTAAGTCCGGTGTGAGACGAGGTGAAAGGGGTTGAAGTCGATCGTTGCAGCCCCCCGGTTCGGCTCACAAGACCGCAGCATGTGATATCGATTAGAGGAATACAACACACACATTTGTCTGGCCTCTGCTTTCGCTGCACTCCCCAGACCATCTGCGACAAAATGATACTTAAACGTTGTGGTTCTTCATTTACACTATATGTTTTTTTTCCCCCAATTTCTACGGTATAATATTTTTAAAGCTATAGTATTGTGGCTGAATATCTTAACAGTCACGTCATGCTTTCAACTGCCTAGTAAGTGTTTTTTTACAGTCACTTGAATGATTTCGTAAACTGACTTCTTAGCTGTGCTTTCACAGAGGGCTGGTGACCCTGCACGTGAGAGAGAGAGAGAGAAAGTAGAACGCGGAATTGGAAGTTCTCTTTCCACTCCACCTTGTCCCATTGAAGCACCTCTGCAAAGAGTGGATACAACATGGTGCACGTCTACAACTGCCATCCTTACGCCTCACAGCAGATAGTGCAGGTCAGTGGAGGTCTCCTGAGCCAAGCCAGCCAACCTAAACGTCATTTATCCTCTTTAAGAGCTCATGACATCCGTTGTCCCTGTCACCAGGTGGAGCAGGAGCCTGGCCTGGTCTGCTGTGGAGGTGGTTCCTTGTTTGTGGTAACCACTGGAGGATGCAAGGTTATTATTGCTATTGTGGTTATTGAATGAACATAACAGGTGCACTGTCTAGGTCACGTAGGATGAAGTCCGCATTGATCACATGTAAATAAAACCCATTTTGTTGGATCGACATATCCATCTACAGTTGATAGAAAAAGGCAACACACCTCTTTTTAAATGCCAGGTTTTTGTGCTG